GTAATTGTTTTCTGCATACCATAATAATATTATAAGAATATTATATATTTGTGATGAAATGTACGTAATTTGTAATACACGGACGTGGAAAGAATCCTGTCCATTGGTTTTCTGAAGAATGAAGTTCGTTGGTCTGTAGGTGACTGTTGCTGTGATTACCGCTTGGTATGAATTCTAGTGTCTGTGCCGTGTCTGCCACGCTACGTGCTGGACACGCTCTTGTGCTGGTATGAATCGACCTTTAGGCGTTGACACGGTGCTCATCACTGTAGGGCAAAGGTCCCGACATACTTACGAATGGGCTTTATTTCAAATACACGACACCCCGAGGGTTGATATGACAACTGCTATTGCGAACCCTCGTAGGGAAAAAATTGCAGGGGATTTCTATCGTATTTATTAAATTAAACAATATTAGAATTTATTGATTCTAGTTCTGAATATTTAAACTATTTAAAAAGTGTGGAACACAATTTTTGGTAATTGTCTCTGGGACAACATACGTTTTTATAAATTATATAAGGTATTGGTCAAATTGATTTCTTTGTACATTTTATTGATTATCATAGTTATTTTGGGTTTAATTGGTTCAAATTCTAATTCGACTATTATTATTTGATTAATACTTTTATTAACTGGTGCATCTAATGTCCAGGAGACAAAAAGATAGCACACTCAAATCTTTTCCTCTTAAAAAAATTGACAATTGATATTACATTTTTCTGTAATGCATAGTTTATTTTGTTAAAACTGAAAAATATTATCTCTGTTAAGTGTTAATCAAAAATAATTTTTAAATGTGTGGTGTTTAGTGACCGTTAGTCAATGATTATTCGGAGATCGTGAGATGCGGTCAGATCTGACGTCGATTTTAGAAAAACATTTTCTTTATCGTGCCAACGTTTCGATCTTTATTGAGATCATCTTCAGGGCTTGGGATTGATAAACATTGTCTAAATTTTACAAATACATGTAGGATGTGAAAATTGAATTTCTAGCAATGTATAAATTTATACAATCATAATACCATTCATTCAATTAGGGTGGTTGAATATTCGATATTTCTCCATTACCGTTTACACATATTATATAACTAACCTAATTGAGGGTCGATGGGGGGAGGTTCCGATATCAACCCTCTCACATCACACATTCATGCTAATAAGTATAATCAAGGTAAAATACATTCACTCCCAAAACAAGCTAGGTAGCAGACAACTATTAGCACTACATTCAATAGACCAATCCCATTTCCTCCAAGAATCGGAACATGGGGCCAAAGTACTCTAAAAATAATTTTCATTATCTTATTCTAAATTTTGGGTATCTTATAAAATTAGGTTAGTTTGAAATTTCGTTCGATCAGGTTTCTAATCATTTTGGCTCGTATTGTCTTCTGGGTTCTGGCCTGTTTCTAAAATTTGAAAAATTTCCATCAGTTTTTACGTAATGTGTGGTGATTAGTGTCCGTTAATCGATATTTATTTAGAAATCGTGAGATGCGATATCACACCAGACCGCATGTCACGATTTCTAAATAAATATTTTTACGTAATGTACTTCTTCGTGATTCGTACCGTTGTCTTGAAGGTTGATTAAAATTTTTAAAGTTGAGCTCTTTGAGACACTCATAGATTTGGACGGGTGTTTTTCATACTGCGAAATCGTTGTTTTGGAACAAAATTTTGCAGCTGGTTCCCGGCCGGTTGAAGGCTTAGGGGTCCTCGTGGGAAATTTTTTTTTTTTTTGAAATTGAGGTGTAGGCGCGTAATTTACCGTTTCGTGATTAACGGGTGTTTTATTCATTATTCGAGGTTTAGGTGCATTTACCGTGATAATATTTATACATCATCATTGAAAAGCTCTTAAAATCAAATTTTCACAGCAAACATAAATTAAACATTTTCGGCTTGATACGCCGGGCCGCCGAGCGCAATTTTTTTCTGTTATGCTCGGTCCCCGGTGTTCTACTTAAAATTCATAACTCCCTTGGATTTTATTATTAAGGGGGCATTACAATCGTTCTGAAGTAAAATCTATTTGCTTTCAACCTAAGTCAACAAGTTTTGAATACATTTCATTTTAAGTGAGAAAAAAAAGGATGGAATCAACAAAACTTCTCAAACGTTTGTTTTATATCTCCAATTTTAATTATTTACGGAAGCTATGCTAGTGTCATCAATGACACTAGCGTTCATAGAGTAGTTGTACCAGTGAAATTCTTTCCGAGTTAACAACATTTTTGTAATTATCGAAAGAAATCGAAGGCATTTAGTTTTTTTTTACAAAAATCTGTATTCAAGGAGATTTGGGCTTGACAAAGGAATATAAATTGCTAAAAACAACTATTTTAATCTACTTTGCTAAGCCATTTGGTTACCACTTCAAATTCTAATTTCCAGGATGGCATGGTATGTTTATCGTATAAATACATAATTTGCAACCTTGTTGTCATTGTTGAAGGAAGAAATTCAGCTTTATAACCATTATAATAACTTTAGATTTGACTAAAATCCAGAGGAGCTTTGAATTTTTAAGTCGAACACTGGATATCGGAGAAAACAATTGCTCTCCCCCATTAAGCCCATAAAATTCTAATTCTTTAACGCTATGAAAATACGTATTTAAAGGCTTTAAAGACGTCTTGAAACGAATCTGAATTGTTTTTTCCAGAAATAAAGTTTTTGACCTACTTAACTGGGAGCTTTTTTCAGTTATTTACTTTTTGCAACTTTTTATATAGCTAGTCTCATTTAATACAGTACAACAATTAAGTAAAATCTGATCTTTTTTAATATAGGCTGAAAGAAGAAACATCCAGCTTTCAGTGAATGTAATACAGCGGACGTTGTATAAAAGCCCGAGGAACCAACATTGTCTTGTCATTGTATCTGTCGTTCTTTTGAAAAATGATCGCATTATTAAACATTTCTTTTAAAAAGCCTTGTCCAATGTATAAACTGGCTTGATTTCGCAGACTAGATTCATTGTTTGTATATGTGCAAAAAATTATAATCTTTATATTTGATTATTTAGATTTATTTCTATTACGTGTACAATTCATAAATGGAAGCTTTACTAATTTTTAAAATATCCGTATCGAGGTATGTTGTAACAAGATTCTTAGCTAGGGGCTTAATTGTCTAAGTTAAAAACACAGGGCAGAGGGAAAAACAAGTAAAAACATACATTTATTTAGGATTTAAACTCGGGGGTTAGGAAGGAAGAGAGGTAATGGGGTTAAATTGGATAAAGATTCCCTTTTCTGGGATAAACAATTGGGTCTTTCGCCGAGAGCAGTAATTGTTTTCTGCATACCAATTTATTCAATTCTAACAACATCTAATGTTTGTTCTTTAATTACCCAAGTTTTTTTAAGGCTAAAGATCTTTATAGTTTATATGAAATATTTACCATTCTAACTCAATAGGTTTAGTATGACCTGTTTGATAGATAGATAAAACACTATATCTGCTTAAGCACCGCACCATTTTCCCGTCAAAGTACCTCTTTTGAATGTGAAATTATTCTTTTTAAATTTCAAATCAACCACTTTTCCGCCTCAAATTTTTCCGTTTTAATTTCACATTAACCTTCAAATGGACGATTTTTTCACTTCAATTAACCCTTTTTTTAGAACATTACAAACACTGACAAAAAAATCCTCATAAAATCAGACAGTCAGACAGCCTTAAAACATTTAGCAGGTCAAAAGGTGACATCAAAATAGTCACTCAATACGTCGAAATCTACAAAAGGGGGACACAATAACATGACAATACCTTGGGTGCAGGACATAGGGTTTTCGATAATGAACAAGAAGATGAACTGGACACCTGCAAAACCATATAAGTACATCTTTTTTCCGTCAAACTGACGCCGTTTTGCTTACCATTTCTAATTGAAAATAAATCATTTATTTAAGACT